TCGATAATAATACTGTATTTATTAACTGGCGTGAAGTTGGTTACTTTCCATGCAGCACACTTCTGTTGTAAAGGTGCGTTTAAATATTACCTCCATGGTTGGACGAATTGTGATAGGGGCCTAGCAATTCTCGCGGTGCACAAGCTGAGATGACCTGCACCTGAATCCTCCTTATCATTAGCTGGGCCGAGGGGAAGCATAATTAGCATATTTAATTTATGCGACGGTAATTAGTCAATCGGAAATCAAAGTTGTTAATACGTCAGGCACCACGAAATCCTCACTGTTTTCCCAGTCCCTAATCCCAGAAAAAGTATACTATGGAACGCCATGCAAATAAGTAATATGGAACGCCATTTGTGCCAAAATCGATTTATTCTTAAGCATTTCAACTGATTAAGACAAAGATTAGGGACTGGAACCCAGTCTACCGTTTTGCATGAGGCAAGACGTATGTGTAGAGACACTGATTGATTCTGGTTACTTCTGAAGAGTAACTGTTGTCTGCAGTTGACTGGTATGTAGTCTGTACTATAATTTGTATAATATTATAGTACAGATATACTAAGTTATATCAAAGTATAATTATTCATTATATTAGTGTAATTTAACGATATATTTGATGCTAGCCCGATATTAACATCGATGTTCTATACAGTACTGCATAGGCCTAAGTTGTACAGATTAGTTTGCATGTTAAAGATTATGCACTGATTTAGGCAAATAGTTAATGATGATTTACCATGAATGCTTAGTAAAATGTCAACTTGCTTCACTGATAATTGTTGTTATAATGTTCTATAATAATGTCTGCGGTAGAACGAATTCGTAATGTGGGCTTGTAATATGATGACCTACGCTAACGATTGTTTATTGCCAGCCCTACGCTTGGTTCCGGATTAAGCTGTAGATAAGCTTTTCCACATGCTCAACTGACGTTTTAATATTAGTTGTCACGAACTCTCGTGCTGGAGAGGGCGCTCTATATAAACATTAATCCAAGATGGCGGCGCCCATGTAATTATCGGGCCGTCGTACGATGTATACTATTATGACGATTCTGATGATAGTGCAATCGTTTTATTGATTATTGTTATTATATAAATAGTTAATTTTGTTATTTGATCTTTTAATTTGTGAGTTTTATGCTATTTCATAATAGTTGTGATATTTAAGTATCTGCTTCTGACTGAAGTTTGTATTATTCAATATATTGTATGATGTGTTAATGTAATGATTATTATGGAACCAGTAAGGTATTGATTATGAGAGTTAAGCCCCTCTCCCACCTAGGTTTATTTCACCTAAGAGTCGTACGACTTCTACGAGTTAAAACTCGTGATCTTTGGAAAGGACCTATACGAGCTTATTACGTGTTAGCTACGAGTGAGGTACGACTTTATGGAGTTGGTTACGAGTTATGTACGAATTATGCCGAGCAGAGTACCGAGTTAACTACGAGATTATTACGAGCGTACCAAGTTTGTACCGAATTAGATACAAGTTAGGTACGAGCCAACTCGGTGCGCTCGTACTTACTCGTACGCGTTTTTGGGTGCTCGCATCAAACTCGTAGATGACAAAACCGCTGACGAGTATCCAGAGT